TATTTTTTTAATTATTTATTTTTAATTTTATTTATTTTTAATTTTTATTTTTACCTTAAGCGTTATAACTTGAATTTCACCACCATCACTAGTTTTGATTGTAACTGAATTGTTGGCTTTCTATTGAGTGAATAATTTTTTTATTTTACTGTATTAAAAAAAATGTCATAAAAAATAGAACATTAAAACTTTACAAACTTTAGAAACGCGTCCTACTAAACAAACAGTACGACCAATATATTGAGAACTGTTAGAAAAGTTAATCCTTGGTCCAGTGTTATTCATTTTTAAAATTTTTTTTAAATCAAAAAGTTGGGATAGATTTTATTCGTGTGTCATTATCAAGATCTGCATCCTAATATTTTTATATATATATTAAATAAGGACTAAAATCTCATCTAAAATAGGAAAATATTACTTTTTCATGATTAGCCGCGTGATATAACAAAGTATTTTGATTTATTAATTTAATTGTTTGTTTTTATATTACACATATTAAGAAATTATAAAAAATAGTAGCATTTCTCTCTATTTATGTATATATATATATATATATATATATATATACATTTTTTAAAAAATATATCATCAATCTTTATTTTTAATGGCCTTTTTTCTACGATCTTCCAAGTCAACATTGGCAAGGTTTCGACTAGCACCAATTAATTGAATAATATTAATTATTTGTTTTGTAACACATACAGGAAATGAAGCCATGGTCAAAAGATAAATGGCAAAGGTTAAATTTGAATCTAATAAAGGAAAAAAATATAAAATAGAAACCCATTCGTTAAATATATATATATTATTTTACTATTAAAAAAATAGAGAGTATTTGGAAACTTACTAGATATTTTTGATAATAAATATAATGAAACAAAAAATGATTCATTTAATGCACATACAAAAAACAGAAATTTCTATTTATATAAAATTTATAAATTTATACTTGTTAATAACTCAATAATTAATATTATTAAATCGATTATTGTCAACTAACGTTATTAGAATAATAAAGACGTAAGATACGATTTGAAGAATTATGATAATATGGTTTTATTAGCTCATAAATATCAAAATTTATTTTCTAGTTAAAAAACCTTCAACTATACATATACATATAAATAAAAATATAAAGATTTATGATAAAAAACAATAACAAAAAACAAATACTTT